GATGTATTTTGCCCGTATTGAATATGTTGCTACTATACTTAACGTCGATAACCTAATTTTTAACTTGGAATATATAATACATTCGAATGTTTTAAATACAATAATAATGACAATAATATTGAGAAAAGGTATAGTTTATATTGAATAAAAAAGAAAAAACAGATAGATCTTTTTGTGTGATCATTATTCAATCGGATCGTGTTTATGCTTGTGCCTACGTGTACGTTGCGTAGAACACTTTGAAATAAATGAAACAAGAATTAATTTTGTTTTCTCTTTTTCTTTGTTAGAAAAAACCTTGTTTCTTTCACGGCTTTCTACAACTTATGTTAGAAATAACTTTTATGTACTAAAATAATGAAGAGTATGATGAAATAAGATAAGTAAACTTTTTCACCAAATCGAATCATATTTTTGTAACTATTCGAAATATCGAGAATAGAAGGAAATTCAAATCTAATTACAATAAAAAAATATCTTCGTAATAGATCAATCGAAGCTAAATAGAAATTTGATTCGACTTTAAACGAAAATATGAATATACATTTCAAATGTTTTCTACAAACATAGACACATCATTCCAGTTATGAAAATGAAAATCTAATGTCAGACTTAACTCTAGAATTAAAATGAATTTAAATCGTTTAAAAAATTTCTAGAAAATCTTTTATGCAACGAATGAAATAGAATAAAAATTTGAAAAATTTCTGAAAACCGAATTATATTTATTTACTTGAATTTGAATTATCTTAGAGAATTTCATTTGAATTGATTGATTTCAACTAATCTTGTTTTAATTCATATTTATTTTCCTTCTAAATAACCTAAACTCATTCTAGCTTCAATCTGAAGCTACAGATCTTATTCTAATTCTACAAATGATTATTTCATATAGGTATATTGAAAATTTTTCAAGATTAACCTACTTAATTCTTCTGAAATAAACTCATCCGTACAATTTATTTAGTTCTAAGAATATAGAAGAAAAGAATCGGAAAACATAACCTAATCAACATACGTCAAGGTAGCAGCTCATTGGAGCCTATTTAGAGTTAATTTACACTTTCTCAACTCCTGTTGAAAAACTTGAAATGTAAGATTATAGAGATAAGTAGACGATTCATATTTTAGTAATGTAGTTATGTAATAGACTATTTAAAATTAGAATACAATTTTTATTACAACTAGTGAATTTTTGCAAACGATTTATAATTGACAACTGATTTGTTTTTTCTGAACTTTATGAAAAAAGGAATATCTATATTGTTTTTGACTAAAAAAATGTCTGACCGAGAGTTGTCCAAAAGTATGTGCTTATAGTATAATGATCTTCGATACTTTTCTATAACACTAAATAAGCTTAAACATTTAAATGTTGTTGTACAAAATATACTATATCTATTGAATGTACACCAAGACATCATACAATCTTGAATTTGTTTTCGATAACGTTTTAAATTAGTGCAATTGCAGAATGAAAGAATGTGAACAGGATTGATAAACACTTACTTTATTACTAATAGAATCCACATCCACACCCTCTATCTCACTAATCAATTCCAGTCATTTCTATTGTTTCGTTAACATTGGATGAAATTGAGTGCACATCTTAGAGTATTATTGTTTATCCATCTTCATAGTGTTTTAGTTGTCTAATCCTTTCATAAACATTTTGGAAATGTTCTAACTGACACCTCGTATCAACTTTTACAAAATAAACTCTGTCTTAATGAACAGTTTTGACTTGTATATTTTCGTCTTCTTTTGGCACGACAATAATAGAATGAATTAATCAAAACACGTCATAAAAATGTTCACAAAAATAGATATTATTCGTTAAATTTTTTATGTATATTGAGAGAAATAAATGATTTTATGCTCTATAGAGTTTTCAAGGAAATTCTTCAAAGAAAATAAGAACAATGTTTCTTGACCTACTAAGAGATAGAAATGTTGAAAATATAGACAGAACTATTGTTTACGACATTCGTTATGTTATTCACTGCTATACAAACTAGATTTCACTTGGAATAGATCAATCATTAAATGAAAAAGTTAAGCGATAATGTTACATAGATACGATAAAAAAATTCTAAAAAATACTTTAAATCACCACAAATAACATATTCTAATTTAAATAAATGATGCGCCATCTTTTCAATTTCATTGAAATAACATTGTCAGCTAGATCTTATACAATATATCATACATAGAATTCAGAACGGTATGAAATAGATTCATATGAGAGAAAAGATGGACCTCATTAATCAATTAAACAAGTAATTTATTCGAAATTTGTTTATAGTGTAATAGATCGTATGTATTTTTGATAAATGAAGTTTGTATGCATAAGCAGATGTCTGAATAATTTGAAGACACGAAGATGATGATAAACATATGATTGCTTGTAGATAAAAAATTATTCTGTATAACAATCATGAATTCTTATGTAAGATTACAAGTTACCATAAATATATACATCAAGTTACATTCGTTCCTGTTTTTTTAAAGGATCTATCTTTGTCTGTATTACACAGTATGAATGTAAACAGAAATTGAGAATATTTCATCTAACAAGTATCATTGAGGAAAAAGAATTTTGTATTAATATTCCCTCGACTGTAGGGATAGTCATATGAAAAAAAATGGGTTGGGTGTGTGTGGGTTTGTGGCATGGTCAAAAGAACATCGGGATCAGAAAAACATCTGATCAGCGATATTTTGTAAAGGTTCACGAAAGTAAATCGGGGTCAGAGAATCTGAATCTGAGGTCAGCTTCTCGAAATTTTGAATTGAGTTCTTTTGGTTTAGGAGAAAAGGTTTTTTCGAGAAAATAATTTTTTCTCAAGTGTAGGAAGGGTTATATGAAATAAAATAAATTTTCGTCTGTTTTTGTGAGAGTGAAAGGTGAAACGACGTATAAAACGTTGGCTAAATGTTCGATTCTCGTGCTTTTAATGTTGAACTTTCAACCAATTCGATTTTTCGGATTGAAAATTCAGTCAATCCGACATATGTGATAAGTTCTCCCTTAATCAGCTGTTTCATAGCTGGGTGTCCATGGATGAGACTTGTATACTTCTGTCTGATACAGTCGAGGATCAAGTGAATCGAACCGACGAACGTTACTTGTAGTAGTAGTTTGTTCAGTAGAATTGTTACATATATATATATATATATGTAGTAGAAAAGAGAATTTTTTTTTTGAGACTGTAAAGTTATGTATTCGAAAGGTATTCATATATAAATTAGTATTACGTAGATGTCGTCTTGACATTGACGATATATGTATATCTCATAAACTGTAAGCTTTTTCTATGTTTCATTTTGTAGAAATTGTAAAAGGATGTAACTGTGTACATAAGTATATATCGGAAAAGATATATATGTATGTATTACCAAAAGTATAAGAAGAAAACAAAACGTATAAAGAAGATAAAACACTCACAACGCGTATATATTATGTATCCACTTCTGTTATAAAGAAGAGATAAAAAAGAAAAACAATGTTGAGAAAACAAATCGAAACTTGAAATGATGTTGATTTTTGCAAAACTTCAAATGAACTTTTCACTTTTTTCTCGCTATGTGCTCTCTCTGGCTCTCTCACTTTGTCTTCTCTTTTATTTAATCATATAATTCTCTTGTTTCTCTCAATTTCAGTGATTCCATTACGTGGAAGTTCAATTGACATTCATCCAAATGCTCGATGGCAACAGAATAATATCACTGTTGCTGGAGGAAATGGACAAGGAAATGGAATCAATCAACTCTCAAACCCGTGGGGTTTGTATGTTGATGAAGATCAAACAATATATGTCGCTGATAATGAGAATCACCGTATTGTGGAATGGAAATCGGGTGCGACGAGTGGCCAAGTGGTTGCCGGTGGAAATGGACAAGGAAGTGGGGCTCATCAATTGAATAACCCACGAGATGTGATTGTCGACAAAGAGAGAGATTGTCTAATCATCTCCGATTGGTCGAATGGAAGAGTGGTTCGATGGCCTCGTCGAAATGGGACAAGTGGAGAAACAATCATCTCCAACATCTTTTGTTGGGGTTTGACAATAGACGAGAATGGATCTCTCTATGTCGTTGACAATGGAAAAAATAAAGGAAGACGATATCGAAGAGGAGAATCTCAAGGAACAGTGGTTGCAGGTGGCAATGGAAGTGGAAATCGTCTCGATCAACTCTATAACCCACACTACGTATTCGTCGATCGAGATCATTCAGTCTACGTGTCTGAATATGGAAATCATCGTGTGATGAAATGGGTGGAAGGTGCAAAACAAGGCATTGTCGTGGCTGGTGATCAAGGACAAGGAAATGGTCTTACACAATTGTCATATCCTTATGGAGTCGTTGTCGATCAATTGGGCACTGTCTATGTGGCTGATGCAGGGAATAATCGAATCATGTGTTGGCCCAATGGAGCCAAACAGGGAAGTGTTATTGTTGGTGGAAATAGTGGAGGAGGACAATCGAACCAACTCAATTGGCCCACCGGTTTATCATTCGATCGACACGGTAATCTCTATGTCGTCGATTACGGAAATCATCGAGTACAAAAATTTAATATCGAGTGAGCATCAGAAGAGATGTGCGCAGTGATTTGTGTATAGAGTGCACATGGAATATGACGTGTGAATAGGGTGTGTGCGCGTGAGTGTGGTTTTGGGTACGGATGTGGATGTGAGTCTTCTGTTCGCCCACACCCTCCATAATTGCGTCTTGTCTGTTTTTGTGGAAGTTACAATTATTTTGAAAGAAAGTTGGGAGTGTAAGTTTTAAGTCAGTTTTGCGGTTGTCTTCATTCTACTACATACCTTAGTAACCACGACTAAAGATTCTCGATAGTCAGGAAAGGCATAAAGTAATCGCTTTAATACTTGTGTTGCTCGTAGGTATGCAGAAAAAGTAAGAGACTTGCTTTGCGAACAACATGGGAGCGAGCTTTAAGATCAAAAAGGAAAGCAAGCGAAGGAAAGAGT